TATATATATATATATATATATATATATATATATGAATTTTTCTTTGATTATGCCACAATCTTTTTTGTTACGGAAATTGTTCATTTGTAGTAGGGTTTCTGATAAGCAAACTGGTTATTTTTCTGTAAATTATTTAAAACAATACGCTCGTCTGATTAAAATGAGAAACTTTGTTATTTAATGGTGGTTTTATGAATAAGCTGCTGCATGTAGTACGATCTGAGCAACAAGACAATGACCATAAAACGAGTCATCCTAATGTATAGGCCAGTGGTTTGCTAGTAACTAGCGTTGTAATTTTCTTTTTCGTTTGAGAAAAAAAAAACCTAGTACAAGCTAATACTGTATTCATCTAATACAAGCATTAAAATGGAACTTTCTTTCAATAATTTTTTTAATTAATAATAATAGAAGTACATCTGGATTTTATTTTTTATAAGTCAAGTATTCAAACGCTCCTCGAGCGTTTTAAAAGAATAAGTATATATATATATATATATATATATATATATATTACTTTTCTTCTTCTTGTCGATGAACCCTTTTCCTTGGCATCTAACCTATGCTAACCATCATTCTTTATTCATTCTAACCCCATCCACAGAATGATGGCCTTATCCACAGGCGAGGCATTCATCAACATGGGAGATAAGCCACCGCCACAGCTGCGTCGAACGATTCATTCAGCTGGGAGATAAGTCACCATACTGACAAAACCATTTCCCAATTATTTGTTGGATTTAGCCATGCGCATTGCTTGACTTGGCTCAATTGTTCTGGATACCCTCAAAGTCTTCACGTTGAATAAGATGATAGTGACATCTTCCAACACCATCAGCTGATTCATCTTCAACTGGAAGCTTCTTGGAAGGTGTTTGACTTGGACAGGTTCTCCTGAAGACCTTGCAAAAGTAAATTGCTTTGGCTTTGTTGTTTTCCACCCACACGCACTCGGTTGCTGCTGTATCCGGCCAGCGAAAACAAAGACAAAGACCAATATCATATATACATACATATATCTATATATACATATACATATATATATATATATATATATATATATATCATTAAAAAGACTTGTTAGTTGGGGTGGTGTCGCAGTCACTCCCATCCATTCGGGACTAGATTAATCACCGATGGGATGCTCACCCAAAGAGCACTCGCTGACAAGGGAAGGAAAGCTCGCTTCCTCCGAGTCGGCAATGCGGTTCGATATAGTGAGTCACACGATTCCACAAGAAACGAGGAGAATTAATGTGAAGGAAGGAAAACACACTGCTACTTTTTAGCTGCTTCCTGGAAGGAGAGGGCATGTGAATGTCGACTCCAGACCAAGACCCAGTCTTCCCATCATCATAGACGCCAAACTACGACCGAATCCTTTGCCGGGCTTCCCATGTGCTTGTGTTTCCATCGAACGATTCATTCGGCAACACCATCGCTCTTCATTCCGTCCGGCGATCAATACTATAAGCCTCAATCATCATGCATCCGCTAATTACAGAATCTTCTGATTCCAAACCAATCCAACTCATTACACTTCCATGAGGAGAATACATTTGAGTGAAAAAAAGGTATAATCATACAAAAAATTTACAGAGAGAACAACCCACCACCTTAAATTGTTACGACAGAATAATTACGGACAAAATGAGGAATTATTGGAGCCGAAAATATTTTGATTAGAAGGGGTGATGTGACCGGCGAAGGCCGTTGACTGGAGCGAACAGCCCGAAGAGCTCTTGCCGGTACGGTAAGAACGACCGCCGCGGTCCCTTCACCGTCTTCTCGCCTGACCCCTTTCGGTAGTAGCCCCTGGGGGCGGTGACCACATCCGTCTCCGTCAACCGCCCCGCTTTCTTCGCCCCCTTCCCTGCCGTCGCCTTAGGGCCGGACGCCGTCTCGAGGAACACGAACTTCTCCTTCCCGTCGCTGTGGCTCCGGCCGACCATCAGGTCCCTGAGCCGCCAACGCAGAGATGACCCAGTGGAGGCGCTCTTCTTGCACCGGTCCGGCGCTAACACGCAGTCCTCTCCGGCATCCTCCGGCTGCGACGACGAGGACGCTGGCCGTGCCACCCTCTCCTCGATCAGGAGCTGTCGGAGGGGAATCTGTTCGGCCACATCCGTCGCGTCTGCTGCCGCTACCGTCTCCCCCGCGTCGGAGGAGGCGAGTTTGAAGACGGGGTAGGCGGGGATGATCCGACCGCCGGAAAAGATCTCGTCGGCGGTGACCGAGGGGAAGGCCTCGGGGTCTTTCACCACGAACGCGAACTCGAAGTCCTCGCTGGAGTCGGAGTCGTCGTCGTCGTCTGCGGCGGCGGCGTCCTTGTCCGCAGCCTCCAGTATCTCGATCTGGCGAGCAGGATCATGGTGGACGGCTGGGATGGAGCCGTCGCCGGGCGGGACGTCCTCCTCGGCGGGGGAACCGCGGCTTCCAAAACCGAGGGAGTCAGCGAGTGATGGCTTGCCGGGGCGTTCCGTCGTCATCTCTCTTCTTTCGCTGTGTTGTTAGCTTCGTCGATTGGGATTTCGCGGCGTTTATAAAGAGCGAGCGGTGGTTAAGATCACCATCAGACCGAGCCTATGGTCGTCTCCTTATGGTCGTCCGATGCGTTCGGCTCCACCCAAGGATTGTACAATACGTCGATCAAATCGAATCTGGACGGTTCTTCTTTCGATCGCACAATAATCAACGGAGGAGGATTTCGTTGGACGGTTCTCCGTTTGCTGTGTGTTCTCACGCACATCCGATGGTTTCTAGAACGTCAAGGCGATTCGCGTGGGTTGTGTTGAACCGTCCATGCGGAGCTTCTCTCTGCAGACGAAGGATCGCCGTCCGTTTCTGCAAGTTGGGGGGTGCGGGGTACTTTACTCTTTTGCGTGTGGTTGCTATTCATGGGCTGTTAGCCCAACCCGTTTCCGATCCATGGACAGCCCATCATAAACTTCCATTTGGGTTGTCTCAAAATATAACCGTCGTGACATCTTAAAACCGCATCCCATTTCTCCTCGAGGGAAAGAAAGATGGGATCTCGAAGCCCTCAATCCGATCACGCCTCCTCTGCCGCCCTCGCCCGTCCAACTTCTTTCTCCTCTCCTTATGACCGCTCAAGCCCTCCAAATCCCCACACCTTCAACCCTCTTCGTCGTTTGTCTCCGACGAGAAGGGAGGTGCCAAGAAGATCTCGGCTCCAAGCCCCTTTCAAACCTAATGCCTTGCGATCGATTCCGCCGTCGAGAACTCACATGAGAAGAAGAAGAAGAAGAAGGGTCTCCGCGATTTGCTTTTGATGAAGGCGAGCGCTCTGTCTGGGCACTGGTACATCGACGGGTGGATACCTTATTGCACTGGACGCGCTGTTATGTGAGTTGTCTTGTTTCTTTCCTCTTCTTGATGAATGGAGTATGGCTATTTGGTTAACGGCTGTCGTACAGACAAATTATCTGGGGACAGAGGGCATGCATCTTTCTCAATGTTGATCTTAATTAAAGAAAATGATATATTTACTGAGCCTAAATTCTACGATAGATTTTCTGCCATAGCGATTGTTAGTGCTGGGAATGAACTCGTGGGATGTAGATAACCTTTATAGAGATTTGCTTATGGATTTGCAGACTAGCGTATTTGGATTTACATAGAGTTGAGTAGTGAGATGTACCCAGAGGTACAGTGTAACTAGATTGATCAGTTCATACGGTGGAATTTTTTATACAATCAATTATGTATTTACTGTTCTTGTTAAATCAAGAAATGGGTTTCTTATACAGACTATATTCTTTTTCTGTCCTAATTCTAAGCTAAACTTATAGTTATAACTAAATATATTGGATAAATTCTTGTTCTGTAAAGAATTTACCTCTCCGCAAACTCTGGTACAAAGAAATAAAGACTTCACTGAAATTGAGTCCTTATGGATCAATGACTTGCATCATACTATACTAAAAGCCTTTCTTAGGTTCACGCAATCACATGATGGGGATTTCTTATTCACTTAATCACACTGTTAGATCTTAATTCTTTCTCATAATTCTGATAGCTGGTACTTGATTATTATATTGCTGATAGGGGCTTTCTTATTCACCTTCTTACAATGTTCAAGAATGTTGGTTCTTAATAGTTGTAGTAAACACAATATTGCTTACAAGTTTGTGCATGTTTTGTGAATAGTAATGTAGACCATGAAAGTTGGGGGGAGTTGACTGTACTGGTTACGCATATGTCCACCCATTACTTGCAACCATAGATTGGACTCTGTTATCCAGGTTCAAATTGTTTTGAATGGTGACCCTCTGAATGATCTGTCCTTTCACTGACTATATCGACAAATTATGAAGATACCAAAACTAAAGGAAAAGCTGAAGGAATTGGCATGGTGGATCTCAAGTTGCGGCTGCAAGAAAGGTTTGTTTGGTTTCTTAAAACTTAAGAGACATCCCTTTAAATGGGATCATGTAATCTTCCAGCCTTAATTGAAGATGCTAATTGTCATACTCCACAAATAACTGTTTTTATCTTTAGGCTTTGTGGGTTTTGCGTATACTCATTAAATTGCATGGGTATACATCACTATCATAGTAGGGAACAATTTAGTGTCTTTTCAGCTATATATACTTTATATGTTCTGACATCACACTAACTATATTTCCTGTATTCCTTACAATAACTGATTATCCTCTAGCTGTGTTCTTTCAGTTCATCTACAAGCTGTTTTGGTACTTTCTGTGTTTTACTATGCTATATTGGTTGATAATGTCTGTAACAACCAAGCTAGACGTATGATGTGAGATTGTCTTTGCAATTAAAACTGCACCTAGCCTCATTGACTCGTGTAGAAACACAATCATCATCTTTAGACTCTATTATGTGCTTTAATATGTGACCTTTTCTCACACCTTTGAAGGTACAGGACTTGTTTGGTTCTCAAATTTGTTTGAAGACTGAAAACGGGTACAGCCATTCGCCCTGCAAAAATTGGCATGACCTTGAGCTACAAGATTCAAGGACCTATCAAAATAATTAAAATGGACAACATGAACTAAAGGTTTGGTACGGTTCACTTCATATATTGAATTCTAGCATTTGAAACCAACATTTGTTATTTTATGTAGATCGACTTTGGCCATCTGTCTGATTGGTAATGTGATCGTGGTGCCAGCAGAGGATGAAGTTCCGCCTAAATAGAAAAAAGGCTTCTGAAGAAGATGAGGATGCAGATGATCTTTTGTCGAATGCAAGCGACCAGAGCGAGAGGAGATTGATAACATGTCCGTGTCTGGGCATCTTCCTATCGAGGAATTTGACTATTATGATCTCGATGGAAGTGCTGATAAGGACTATGGCACTTGCAATTGGTAGTGATAGAGAGAGAGAGATCCTTCACCCATGTGGACATGGTAATGATGACGAGGGTGGTTTGGATGCATGATATGGTGTGGTGATGATTTTGATGACGTAGTAGTGTTGCGATGGTGGTGGCACCGACCAATGATGACAACGGTGATGATGATCAATCCAATATAATTGGCAAGTGGAAGTTTGACACATGTTCTCAAGCGTCACAATCACCATTTGCTAGTCCTGAAGACGATGAACGCCTCATGATGAATGACATGAGGCCCAACGTGATAAGTCCAGATCACATACAGAATAAGAAAAAGAATTACAAGTCTAGCCGAGCATATTTCTCAGAAAATGTTCTCTATATCCCATATGTTTGCAACTTTTATTACTTCTTGACGTGATAACATGTGCATAGAAGGAATGCTTTTGTTTAGAAAAAAAAAGAAAAAGGTAAATGCAAAGAACATACGACACACTGGCGTCCGGAGATTCTTTACCGCCTGTGGCGTGAATGATCTCTACCCAATCCTGATTGATCCTGCGAACTAAAAGGTAAATGCAGCCGCGCCGTGTGCATCAACAGTGGTTTGGCTGTTATGTAGACCGGGTTAATTGGTCGTGTTGGGTTGAGCTCTCTGATTGTCAAATTACGCCGGACTTCAGTCTCAATCTCTGCTCGGTCTTGGGGGTCTGCAAGTCGGATCTGGATTTCGGTTTAGCGGACGTCCGCACCATATCGATCGGACAGGGAAAATGGATGATGTCGGAGAGAAAGGAACGGGAAAGCTCGCGATCGACGCACAGGGACGAGGACGAGCCGGATATTAAATCCCAATTCCCCTTTCCTGTCGCCTTCATCGGCGCCGCCTCCTGCACCACTGGCCCAACGAAACCCGCCGTCGACGCCCGCCACACTCCCACGCCGCCGTCCCGCCTCTCTGCTTCGATACGAGACCAAAATGATCCGGTCCACCCTATCAACAGCGGGTTTGGCACACCTTGGAATGAGAGTAGCCTCGAATCGTAAGTGCCCGTCTCCTCTGTGCCGCCGACTGCGGCAACGAGGACCGCACCAATTCCCCTACACCCCGAACGTCTCCACCCTTTGCTTTCTCTCTTTCGGCGCCGCCATTTCTCCTTTCCCCATTTCCTCAACTCCACTGGATCTTCGCTCTCTGCCCCGGTGGACCACCACAACGCTCTATTACTGATTGCGGCCCAGCCAACGTCCCCCAATTCCCGTGGGTGGGCCTAACCGAGCTGGACAAAGATATGGGATTTCGCTATTTAAAGAAGACTGACGCGGCCCGATCCATGTCCTGTGGGTACGAGTACGGCTCGTGAGCTTACCGTCAAATAGTCCGACGGCAAAACAACCCCAAAAAATTGTTTTTGGGGTCTGAAACCCTTCGACAACGCTCCTTATTCCTACCTGCGGTTACTGGATGACGTAACGAAAATTGACACGTGTTTATTCGGCAATGAATCACCTCTACCCCATGTCCGGTACATCCGCCAGCTCCTCACTCCCGCCGACAGCGCTGCCCCCACACCCGTCGCCGATCTCTTCCTCCCCCACCGTGCTAACTTACGATCGACCACCCTCGTCTCCATCCTCTTTTTCCCCCGCCACATTATATTGCATTGACTACTACGGGCTCCCGACCGCCCCGTGCTCTTTCACGACCACACTGGCCTTGTCTGGTGATGCTGCCATCTCCACCGCCGCCGCCAAAATTGAGTCGAAGGACAGAGGGTAAGTAACTAAGATGCGCCCATGACCGTTTCGGTGGCCACTCTGTTCCGATCTGATACGAGTACCTCCCTGTGTGCTTACCGTATATCAGTTTGGCGTCAAACTAGCCCAAAAAAATTTTTTTGGGCCTTCAAACGCTTCATGATGTCGTTGTTAACTTGACCTACGGTGACCGGATCTGGACGAGCATCTGAGATTATTTATGAGAATTCGCGAATCTCAAAGCACCGCCGCCGTAGTCTTCCTGCGCGCCACCCCAGTAGAGTCGGCGGACAGAGGGTAACTACGATGGGCCCGTGTGCTTGAGCCCGTGAACCATGGAACTACGCTTCACCGGGTCGCACTATTCGAGTTGATACAAGGACCGCCCCGTGTACTTACCGTCCGTCAGTTTAGCGTCAAAATAGCCCCAAAAAAAATTTTCGGGCCCTCAAACGCTTCATGATCTCGCTCTTAACATAACCCACGGTGACCAGATCTGGACGAGCATCTGAGATTATTTGAGATTTCACGAATCTCAAAGCACCGGCCCATCCCATCCGTGGCGGCCGCGTGCTCCTGCATGCCGCCGACACCCTCGCCGCCTTCTCTTCCTCAACCGGCGGCGTTACCTTCGATCGCCTACTCGGGTCTGGCTTCATTCCATGATCGTCGAATTTGACGCCTACGTCGGTCTCGCTCGTAACTGTGTAGATAAATGCACCCATCATCCGCCGTAGTTGCCGACAAAGGGCAAGTCCTTCTCCTAATAAGTGGCGGCGCTGAGCTTGAATGAGTTTTGAGTGACGGCGGCGGCGCCTCATCCGACAATCATGACCAGATCATGCTAACTTGTACAGTGATCTAATATCAATCACCACGCCCACCGACCGTCATCACGAACAGGAAGGTCTTCTTCCCACGCACCATTGAGTCAAAACCTAGCTGGGCCCAGTCATCTACACCTTTATTTTCAAAAGCCGGCCCACTCGACCCATATCACAGCGAGTACGAATACCTTTCGTACGTTTACCGCCTATCATCCTGACGACAAAGAGAGCCACAAGTATTTTCTTTTGTCCTCAAAACCCGATCTCGAGTTCTATATTCGTAACCGGAATCGATTCATGGAATGATTTCTTTTTCTCTTTAGTTTTTTTGGACTCTTCAAAATGATGCGTGACTATGCACGAACCATAAAACATCGACTCGTACATAATGTATTTTTCTTTTGAACTCCTCATAAGATCTCAATCCGAGACAAAAATGCCTGTTGATAATGCATAATACATCTCTTCAGCAATTTCGAAGGAAGTCCCCCCATCCCCATGTCAATGCATAAATAGCAACCACCATTGATGTTGATCATTTGCATTACAACTAGAAACAGCTGCAAGGTTGGCAGATGGGGTGGAGCTGAGCAGAACATTGAAATCTCATGTTTAGGTACCCGATACAATGACAGCCACTGTCCAAGTTCGTACATATGTAAATCTTTGGTACAAATTACATGTTCGTTGTCATTCGTTCAAGCAGTCCATGTATCCCAACAACATGATTAAAACAAGAATTAAACAATCCAATTTCCTGCAGTACTCACCGTGTCGAGAGAATCAATTCAAATCTAGAAATTTTGCAACAATACCAGTCCATCATAAGGGTGAACAACTTAAACCAACGAATATAAATAATCCACATCGATGCAACACTAGGCAAATAACAGGTTTTAATCTGGATACTTACTACAGCAGGATTCAAACTAACAAGGAAGCATCTTCAACAGAGGTTCTTCAGCAGAGAGCAACTGTTCTAATGACCATACTTCTGGAACTCCCACTCACTGTTATCTGCAGAAAAATATAGCTTTTTTGTATCAGCGACAGCACATGCTACATGCAGCAGTAAAATCTGAGGCCGTATAACAAAAGAATGGTTACCCAAAGGACAAACTTGACGAGTCTTGAGCCAGCGACTGATACAATGGAAATGGAAGGCATGATTACAGACACCTGAAGAACATCAAACACAGACAATAAAAAAAAGAGCAGGACTTCAATATTTTGAGTAGAGGACAAGATCAGATACATCAACTGGAGTCTTTTCAGGTGCCAAGGATAAGCCTCAAAAGAAATTAGGCACTCTTCTTTCTAACCAGGGTAAGGGTATTCAAAATTCAGGTTAGAATGAGGAACATATACCAATTCAAATGCTCAGAGAAAAAAAATATATTAATGAAAGGAAATATTTAGATATATTAGATGAAAGAAAACAATAGGTTAAAGGCACAAAAAGAAATACAAGTTTGCTCCGTCACCACTGTGTTTGCATCTTGGTACTAGTTATCTAGCTTACATCAATCTGGTACCACAGCAAGTTTGAAAATTTGGTAAAAGAATATTGCTTAATAAGCGTAGATATTGCTTCGTTTACGGAAGCAAATTCTGATTCGTGTCTTCCTACCATAAAAATAATAAAACCCCCCTCACCTTCACTCTGTTTATTCATACCATTCTATTGGTGCTTGAATCAATTTGGTGCCAAGCCAGCACCATTATGTTCTACCGTCAGGGTTGCTCCTTAGTAGATCTATACCAAAGGATACAAGAAACAAAAGAGAGAAAATCGCAAGCAACAGCAGGGATACTACAATTGGAAGGAACACTCTCTTCAACAGAAGCAGTAAAATGAAATTCAACATACAGATCAAAAGTCAGAATGTCTAAAGTAGCTTTACAAGACATTTGAGTATTAAAGGGCATATGAAGAAAATTATAGAAAATAGAAAGCAAATGTGAAGAAATCTGCATCAAATGAAATTTTGGAAGGAACACTCTCTTCAACAGAAGCAGTAAAATGAAATTCAACATACAGATCAAAAGTCAGAATGTCTAAAGTAGCTTTACAAGACATTTGGGTATTAAAGGGCATATGAAGAAAATTATAGAAAATAGAAAGCAAATGTGAAGAAATCTGCATCAATTCAGAAAGAAATTAAAAATCCAAAATATAAAAACTGGATGCCAAGCAAAGACAATGACATCCATTGCAAGAGATTAAAAGAAACTTCTACTTCTTCATTTGCTAATCCTCATAAAAAGAAAGTTTATTATGGATGTTAGGCCCAGTATGATTGCGCTCAAATAACATATCATTTAAACACTAAAAGATGTAGATGATCAAAGAGCCAAAAGAACATGATATTGGTTTTACAACAACTAATGAATTCACAAGTAACGAGCAAAATCAAAGAGAAGAACAGCATCTTTCCTCAGTTGCAAAAATCACCACTGAACTACTGATCCAGCATCTAAATACACCAGAAACTTCCTAAATCCATTTGTCATTAAAGCTGATGTATCAAAATGGCCACATACACTGTTGATTCTATGCCCGAGATTGAAGAAATTGAATTTCAATATATGTTTCTGTGTTTTTTGCTTCAAAAGATCAGATAACAAATTAATACATCCCAATCCAAATGAACTTATCTTTTTCTTTTTGTTTAATTAATTCTAGATTAGATTTCAACTCCTCTTTTATCAATTAGACATTGAGTTTGTATCAAAATAGACTATCTTATCATTAATTTGGGCCTTATATTCTATTGAAATCAAAATATGATAAGATATTATATTTAGCAGGTCCAGATGATATAATAGGATCCTTATATTGTACAACATTAGTAGTATTTGAGTTGTTAACCTAAAATAAATCAAATTGTACCATATTGACAATAACAATGAATTTTTTGGGTAATTAGGCCTTGCATTCTCCCTATTCTTCTTCGTATCAGGTGTTCCTTTCCAAATTCTAGTATTCTCGCAATTCATAATATCCTAACCCTCTTACACTTTCACTCATTAATACATATCATAACTAAACCAAATTGGTTATTGGTTTGGTTATATTTTGCATGAATATGTTGTTTTTGCTTGGTCATGGTTGCTATATCAAATAACAATTGTGGGCTTACCCTACCATGCCACTCTATTTGCTTCCAAAGAGATGGCCATAGTTGTGAGGAAAACCATGTAAGCAAGTGAATAGAGAAGCAAGCAATTAACCATAAAATTGCAGAACTGATTGGTTGCAAAAAGATGGCTTGAAAATATTGCATCATGTTTCATAAATTTAATGCTAAAAAATAAATATGGAAAAGAAACAGACGTGAGCAGGAAAATGTGTCAAAGGGAACCTCCTCGACAAACAAAAAATAAAACAACATCTTCCAACTTCATATAAGTTATGTCTACAATCTCTTTAATCTGTCCAAGAGACTAAACAACTAGCAAAAGTTTAGCCTAGGTTGACTCAACATTTTACTCTTACTCTTGAGCAAGGTTCGTAATTTCGTACCGTACCAGAGTATCGAGTTCAGTTCGATACAGTACGAGTATACTGAGTGGTACGTCGGTATATATATATATATATACATATATATATATATAAGAGTTAAAAAATAAAAAAGGGGCGACGCCGTCGAGGTGACTTCGTGTCGTTTCTTCTCCCCGCGTGGAGAGAAGAAAACCTCGAAGCCTCGACGACGTCGCCAAGGTTTGTTCTCCACACGCCAAGGCTTCTTCTCCCCGCGCAAATTAGAAGTCACCAACAACGCCGAGGTTTTTTCTCCCCGCGCAAATTAGGAGAAGTCACCGACGACGCCAAGGCCTCGTCGCCTCGGACGAGGAGGGGACATCTCATCTGCGGAGTCTGGCGAGGGAGGGCGATGACGGATCGGGATCGTCGAGGGAGAGCGACGCCGGATCTCTAGGTTCTCCCATTTCTTCTCCCTCGGCTAAAACCGTCCGGTAGCGGGCGACGATGGTCGATGGCAACGGTCGAAATCGACCATCACCGACCTATTTCGGGTGGTAACAGGGCGAAAACAGTCCCAATCAATGGTACCGCTCGATAACGAGCGATCCGCCTACCTATCTGCTAGTGGACCGGTACGTACCGTCCCGTACAGACGATATCATTAGAAATTAGAAACCCTGCTCTTGAGTACATTAGAGTTCATCATGAGGTGATCATAACAAGGGTTGAGATAGGCACAAGGATAGAGATCCACGGGGCACAATAAAATTGAAGTTCAGTGGAGGAGGAAAATTACAGCCTAGTAAAGGAAAAATGAGATGCCCATGAAAGACTTTTCAAGTTTGGTAAAAGTATCATGTTTCTGCCCCAAAAAATAATGACATAAAAACCTAAATAAAACCAATAAAAGAATTGGGTTCACCAAACAAAAATATGAAATCAACTTAAGTGAAACTACAGAGTCAGTATGTGGCGTGAATGGATATGTAAAATCTTACATATGTTTATGCAGCCTCACATGACCATCTCACATATGTTTATGCAGCCTCAGTATGTGGCGTGAATGGATATGTAAAATCTTGCGCACTGAAATAAGCATGAAAACACATTTGTATATGTTCACATTACCCGGTCTTTACTACTGCTTCATATATTCTATTATTTGGTTTCATGACATATGATCTGTGATAATATGAGATTCATCACTTTAGGATTTTTACTCATTTCATATGACTTCGACCTTGAATAGGTTCTTAGACTTTACGGATGCTGATTTTTATATTTTAATTGAACCTCATAAGCAGCCAGGTAAGACATGTTTGATACGCAATACCTGAGGTTCCTCATACCATAACAACTAATTAGAGCATTAATTTAAACACAATCACAAGACTAGCCTGCCTCAATCAATCTTCAGCATAGAGTATCAACAGAAGCAAAATGCTTTACTTCCAGAGTAAGTCTTCCCTTTTCACACGATGAATGAATCCCATGAATCAACGATAGCTTACCCTTAGAGAGCACCAGTCAGATTTGTAACTTGACAATTAATCTCTTACATGATACTAACATTTATAATAACTCAAAGATCATTGCTTATGAATTAGCAACACGACAGACAGATCAAAGAATAAAAAAAACCTTGCAGAAGTTGCCAACTTCGGCACCTATGAGTGTGCCAAAATAAGTTGAAATTAACATGCTGTAAAAGCAGCCTGAAATTGTGCTGGTCAGTTTGTAGGATGAACTATGCAAAAACTAGTACATGCAACCAAAACAGTGAATAATCATTTCGACAACAGAACAGAAAATTACAAGATCAAACGTACGGGAAAGATGTCTGTAACTTGTTGGTTACCAACTTTTCATAAAAGGGAAACTATATCATACGATCATCCAAAGAGAAACCAAAGATAGTGCATACCCCAAGCCACCGTGCACTCTTCACTGGTGGCACTCGCCTGATTAGCCTGGCACTCGATGCCTGCAAAGGATTCAAGAAAATGACCGTCAAAACCCGGAGCAAATAACAAGTTCAAGAACCCTAACCCTAAATACAAACAAGAATCAGCACACAAGACAAGGAAAATCAAGAAACGGTGATAGGGTAAAGGCGACTCACAGAGGTCCATGATGTGGTTCCTGCAAATAGCACAGTTATCCACCACGATGTCTGCAGCGATTCCATCAATCGGTCAACCAAACGAAGAAATCCAAGAAAATTGGAGCAAAAGCCGAAACCCAGAACGAGAGAATCCACACGGACTGCTAAGCGTTTGTGGATCGGGCACATACCCCAGGCCCAGAGGGCAACGGCGTTCCACTTCTTGATCTCGAACCTCTTTGGCTTCTTCGAGGTGGAGGAGGACGGCGCCGCCGACGGCCCAACGGCGCCGCTGGACCCTTCCCCGGCAGGGACCATATTGATGTCGGTGTCGAGGGAAGCCATGGATCGGAGGAAAGAGAACGACGAGGGGAGGGTTTGGAGACGGCACAGAAGAAGGGGACTTCTATCTCATCTTCGCTTTAAATAGCCAACGAGGGGACTCCTATGTTGCAATGTGCTCATGCTCAGCCCACAACCATCGGACGGGGTCGGACCAACATGGCTTTGCTATTTGATCGTGTAGATTGAGCTCCATCCGAAGTGCAATTGAATGAATCGATGTGATTGGGATTCCGACAACCCAAACGTCAGCGCCATCATATTCTCCGAGGAGAAAAAGCGTCAAACCATGTCGACATGCGAGCTTCAGGTGTCATCACCTTTGGCAGAAATATCATGGAAGAGCACACCAGTTTTTGCCCTTTGGATCACGTTTTCCACATCACCGTGGGAGGAGCCACCCTCCTCGGTAGCCCTCTTGGCCATTTGGGAGAGCTTTCTGACTCTCCGCCTCATTCTCTTCGCCTCCTCATCGTCTCCATCCATCAACTGGCTTATGACCATCTGTATCTCTGCTGCTACGAGCAAGGGCCTCTCTTCTGCGTCTACCGTGGACTGCTGATATATATATATATATATATATATATATATATATATATATTTATTTATTTATTTATTTATTTATTTATTTATTTATTGTTGCTGTAAACAACTTTGTGCCGTGTCTCGGGACGGACGCGGCTGGGTTCAGGACCGAATGGCAGGGATCTTTGCTCGAGGGTTCTCGGAATTGCCGAAGTGATCGACCGCGCGGACCAGATCACGTCTGGGTTCGACGGGATGTCTTGGGGGAAAGGCGTCCTCTCCTCGCGTCCCGGATAAATGGCCTCGTCTCCTTGCCTGCACACAGGTCGGGTCGGAAGCTCGGCCCAACCCCTCTGACGATCAAGTTAGTGATGTGGGATAGAGTGGTTCCCCCCTTGCGCTTAGAACGCAAGGGTATTTATAGGGAAGTTTAGTGTTACCTGATGTGTAAGCTCGCAGGGAGCAGGATCGTACCTCTGATGGCGTCTGACATCGCTGTTGGCGTGACATGAGGGATCGAGCCTGAGCGATCGTTAATGGGCCTTGACCTGTGTTTTGGTTCGTTTAACCAGCCTCTGCCAGGTTGACCGAGGCGTGAGCTTTGTCTGGGTCAACTGACGTCAGCCCGCGTCTTGTCGCCATTTATTATCCTC